TGTTTGCTAGGCAGCCGAATAAAACCATCAGACAGGGATGACTTTTGGCTGTCCACCTTGTTGGCCCCTCGTTACCGTTCAAAAAATGGTGGCCTTTTTCACACCTGCTGAGAGGGAGGCCAAAAATAACGTACTATAAAAACCACTTAATGTAGTCAGCTGGGTATCTGCCTTTCGTGCAAGCCAACGTCCATCCTCAGGACACTGTGGGCCTGTGCGCTCGCGTTCCGCATGCCATGGGCAGCAGGGGAGGGGGTGGGGTGGTCATGAGCAGTTGGCCAGATCCACCAGCAGCGGCTGCCTCAGTCTGCAGTCGATGATGCGTAGCTTTCTTCACCAGGGGCAGTGAGGAAAATACTACCTAACCAGCGCAGCAGCAGCAGCATCAGGTGGACCTGGAGCAGGACCTCAAACAACAGGCTTAGGCCTACTTGGACAGCACCCTGCCAACCGTGGTAGACAATCCCCTTGACTACTGGCAACGAAACTTGACCTTTGGCCCAACTAGCTGAATTTGCCCTTGAAAGGCTGTCATGCCCGGCCAGTAGCGTGGCATCGGAGGGCGCGTGTTTAGTGCGGGCAGGAGGTATTGTAAACTCCGCGGAGGACACGACTGTCCACCCAAAGTGTGGAGGAGACTCACGTTTGTGAAAATGAATCAGGCGTGGATTAGTCTGGATTTCAAACCACCAGTTCCTGACACAAAACTGACTAAATCCGCCATGAATCATGCCCCAAACATGTGCCACTTTCAGGTCTCCTCACACTGCTGGTGTGTTCCATTTTTTGTCATGGGGTGCTGGCAGATTACGGGCCTCCATTCAGCTGCTGCCAGGCCCCTAATCTGCCATGGGCCCTATACCGCCTCCTCATGCTGCTGCCAGGTCCAGAGTCTCTCATGGGTCCCTGTACGGCCTCCCATTGCTGCTGTCCTCCATCGCCACACTCTGCCATGTGCCACTTTCAGGTTCCTCACACACTGCTGGTGTGTTCCATTTTTTGTCATAGGGTGCTGGCAGATTACGGGCCTCCCATAGCTGCTGCCAGGCCCCTAATCTGCCATGGGCCCCTATACCGCCTCCTCATGCTGCTGCCAGGTCCAGAGTCTTGCTGGGTCCCTGTACGGCCTCCACATTGCTGCTGTCTCATCGCCACACTCTGCCATGTGCCACTTTCAGGTCCTCCTCACACTGCTGGTTGTGTTACATTTTTTGTCATAGGGTGCTGGCAGATTACGGGCCTCCCATTGCTGCTGCAGGCCCCTAATCTGCCATGGGCCCCTGTACCGCCTCCTCATGCTGCTGCCAGGTCCAGTAGTCTTTTTCTCATGGGTCCCTGTACGTGCCTCCTTGACTGCTGTCTTGTGTTCCATCGCCACACTCTGCCATGTGCCACTTTCAGGTCTCCTCACACATCTGCTGGTTGTGTTCCATTTTTTGTCATAGGTGCTGGCAGATTATTACGGGCCTCCCATAGCTGCTGCCAGGTCCCCTAATCTGCCATGGGCCCTGTACGGCCTCCTCATGCTGCTGCAGGTCCACAGTGTCTCATGCCATGTGCCACTTTCAGGTCTCCTCACACTGCTGGTGTGTTCCATTTTTTGTCATAGGGTGCTGGCAGATTACGGGCCTCCCATAGCTGCTGCCTGGGCCCGTAATCTGCCATGGGCCCCTGTACCGCCTCCTCATGCTGCTGCCAAGTCTCCACACACTGGGTGCTGTATCCATTTTGTCATATGGTCCAGAGTCTCTCATGGGTCCCTGTACGGCCATCCCATTGCTGCTGTCATCATCGCCACCATGCTCTGCCATGTGCCACTTTCAGGTCTCCTCACACTGCTGGTGTGTTCCATTTTTTGTCATAGGGTGCTGGCAGATTACGGGCCTCCCATTGCTGCTGCCAGGCCCCTAATCTGCCATGGGCCCCTGTACCGCTCTCTCATGCTGCTGCCAGGTCCAGAGTGTGTCATGGGTCCCTGTACGGCCTCCCATTGCTGCTGCCAGGAGGCAGCAGGGTCGCAGCAGTGTCAGTGGAGGCAAACGGCCACGAGAGTAGAGCACCAGCTCCACTGCAGCCTACCACCACGGCCAGTAGTGGTGCGTTACGGTAGTTTTGTCACGGAGGAAGTAAGCAGGCAGCCAGTGAGGAGGTACTGGGGGCAAAGTTTCCCACTTTCGGCGGAGTGGCAATTTTTCGTCAAGCCGCCCGGGGATGCTGGCAAACGTAGCCGTCCTCATGTCGACTGCTGCCAGTCAAGCGTGGCCATGGGGGCCCATGTTGGGCCTACAGCGTTGTCAGCATATGCAGCGTCGCCATTCGGTGGCCTGGGAAAAACTCTGATTAAGATACGGCGGTTCTGCCTGCACACAGCTGTGGTGTTCCATTTTGTCATAGGGTGCTGGCAGATTACGGGCCTCCCATTGCTGCTGCCAGGCCTTAATCTGCCATGGGCCCCTGTACCGCCTCCTCATGCTGCTGCCAGGTCCACAGTGTCTCATGGGTCCCTGAACGGCCTCCCATTGTGCTGTCTCCATCGCCACACTCTGCCATGTGCCACTTTCAGGTCTCCTCACACACTGCTGGTGTGTTTCCATTTTTTGTCATAGGGTGCTGGCAGATTACGGGCCTCCCCATTGCTGCTGCCAGGCCCGTAATCTGCCATGGGCCCCAGTACCGCCTCCTCATGCTGCTGCCAGTCCACATCTCTCATGGGTCCCTGTACGGCCTCCCATTGCTGCTGTCTCCATCGCCACACTCTGCCATGTGCCACTTTCAGGTCTCCTCACACACTGCTGGTGTGTTCCATTTTTTGTCATAGGGTGCTGGCAGATTACGGGCCTCCCATAGCTGCTGCCAGGCCCCTAATCTGCCATGGGCCCCTTACCGCCTCCTCATGCTGCTGCCAGGTCCAGAGTCTCTCATGGGTCCCTGTACGGCCTCCCATTGCTGCTGTCTCATCGCCACACTGTTCTGCCATGTGCCACTTTCAGGTCTCCTCACACACTGCTGGTGTGTTCCATTTTTTGTCATAGGGTGCTGGCAGATTAACGGGCCTCCCATAGCTGCTGCCAGGCCCCTAATCTGCCATGGGCCCCTGTACCGCTCCTCATGCTGCTGCCAGGTCCACAGTCTCTCATGGGTCCCTGTACGGCCTCCCATTGCTGCTGTCTCCATCGCCACACTCTGCCATGTGCCATTTTCAGGTCTCCTCACACTGCTGGTGTGTTACATTTTTTGTCATAGGGTGCTGGCAGATTACGGGCCTCCCATTGCTGCTGCCAGGCCCGTAATCTGCCATGGGCCCCTGTACCGCCTCCTCATGCTGCTGCCAGGTCCAGAGTGTCTCATGGGTCCCTGTACGGCCTCCCATTGCTGCTGTCTCCATCGCCACACTCTGCCATGTGCCACTTTCAGGTCTCCTCACACACACTGCTGGTGTGTTCCATTTTTTGTCATAAGGGTGCTGGCAGATTATGGGCCTCCCATAGCTGCTGCCAGGCCCCTAATCTGCCATGGGCCCCTGTACCGCCTCCTCATGCTGCTGCCAGGTCCACAGTGTCTCATGCCATGTGCCACTTTCAGGTCTCCTCACACTGCTGGTGTGTTCCATTTTTTGTCATAGGGTGCTGGCAGATTACGGGCCTCCCATAGCTGCTGCCAGGCCCCTAATCTGCCATGGGCCCCTGTACCGCCTCCTCATGCTGCTGCCAGGTCCAGAGTCTCTCATGGGTCCCTGTACGGCCTCCCATTGCTGCTGTCTCCATCGCCACACTCTGCCATGTGCCACTTTCAGGTCTCCTCACACTGCTGGTGTGTTCCATTTTTTGTCATAGGGTGCTGGCAGATTACGTGCCTCCCATTGCTGCTGCCAGGCCCCTAATCTGCCATGGGCCCCTGTACCGCCTCTTCATGCTGCTGCCAGGTCCAGAGTGTGTCATGGGTCCCTGTACGGCCTCCCATTGCTGCTGCCAGGAGGCAGCAGGGTCGCAGCAGTGTCAGTGGAGGCAAACGGCCACAGAGTAGAGCACCAGCTCCACTGCAGCCTACCACCACGGCCAGTAGTGGTGCCGGTGTGCACGGAGGAAGTAGCAGTCAGCCAGTGAGTAGTAGCGGGGGCAAAGTTTCCTACTCGGCGGTGTGGCAATTTTTCGTCAAGCCGCTCGAGGAAGTAAACGTAGCCGTATGTCGACTATGTGGCCAGAAAGTCAAGCGTGGCCAGGGGGCCCATGTTGGGACTACAGCGTTGCGTCAGCATATGCAGCGTCGCCATTCGGTGGCCTGGGAAAACCGTGATAAAGATACGGCGGTTCTGCCTGCCCCAGCCCAGGGTTCCATTTTGTCATAGGGTGCTGGCAGATTACGGGCCTCCCATTGCTGCTGCCAGGCCTTAATCTGCCATGGGCCCCTGTACCGCCTCCTCATGCTGCTGCCAGGTCCACAGTGTCTCATGGGTCCCTGAACCGCCTCCCATTGCTGCTGTCTCCATCGCCACACTCTGCCATGTGCCACTTTCAGGTCTCCTCACACTGCTGGTGTTTTCCATTTTTTGTCATAGGGTGCTGGCAGATTACGGGCCTCCCATTGCTGCTGCCAGGCCCGTAATCTGCCATGGGCCCCAGTACCGCCTCCTCATGCTGCTGCCAGGTCCACAGTCTCTCATGGGTCCCTGTACGGCCTCCCATTGCTGCTGTCTCCATCGCCACACTCTGCCATGTGCCACTTTCAGGTCTCCTCACACTGCTGGTGTGTTCCATTTTTTGTCATAGGGTGCTGGCAGATTACGGGCCTCCCATAGCTGCTGCCAGGCCCCTAATCTGCCATGGGCCCCTATACCGCCTCCTCATGCTGCTGCCAGGTCCAGAGTCTCTCATGGGTCCCTGTAGGCCCGTAATCTGCCATGGGCCCCCGTACCAACTCCTCATGCTGCTGCCAGGCCCGTAATCTGTCATGGGCCCCTGTACCGCCTCCTCATGCTGCTGCCAGGTCCAGAGTGTGTCATGGGTCCCTGTACGGCCTCCCATTGCTGCTGTCTCCATCGCCACACTCTGCCATGTGCCACTTTCAGGTCTCCTCACACTGCTGGTGGTTTCCATTTTTGTCATAGGGTGCTGTATGGCCTCCCATTGCTGCTGCCTCCACCGCCACACTGTAGCTCCACACTCTGGTTTTGGCCCCGTGACTGCCCAAATGAGTGAAGTGTGCGGTGATTCTAAGATCGACGGCACTCATCTGCATGTCATACTGACTGTCAGTATTATTTCTCTTCCCCAGCAGACTCCAAGGGCATTTAAATTAAAGGTACAGTGTTCTGCACTAATATAAAGGCTCTCTGAAGCCTAGAAACACCCTTTTATAAGTTAAATTCGCAGCGAATATATTCGACTCGAATCGAAATTTTTTCACGAATTCGCCGAATCAGTCGAATCGAATTTTTGAATAATTCGCTCATCTCTAATTAACACCAAAGCAACTGAAACTGATTAACAACCCCCTCTGCTACTTAACTGACCAGATCAATATCCCAGGGGTTTAATTGACTTGATGCTATACTCTGATTAAAAAGTGTCCCTTTAATTTTTTTGAGCATTGTATAGCACAGGGGCAGTCTTGTGGGAGGCAGGTCTTCATGGCAGTGGGCCAGCATCATCGGCTGTCAATCATTGTGATTGGTACGTATCTACATTGGACTGTATTTGGCTTTCGATTTTCATTGTGGGACATTGCTTTTTCTTTTCAATAGAGGACTTTTTTCAATTTATTTCATTTCATAATTTTTTGGTTACATAGTTGGTAAGGCTGAGTAAAGACACCAGTCCATCCAGTTCAACCTGTGTGTGTATGCATGTATTTCACTCCTATTTTCCATATGCCTGTATATTGTGTTTGCTAAGATGTCCATCTAAACATTTTTTTTTTAAATTAACATCACTCTTTGCTGACACCACCAAATGTGGAAGGGAGTTCCACATCCTTGCTACTCTAACAGTAAAGGACCGCTTTACACAGTTTAAGGTTAAACCCACTTCTCATTCAACTTCATTGAGTGGCCATGTGTCTTTTGGTAAGCAAGTAATAAGGGGTACTATATAATCCATACTCATTTATGTTTGGAGGTGGATATCTGGGGGCCCTCTTATTCTAAAGGGGGTCTCCAGGGTCCAATAAGTCCTCTGTGCAGACATCCATATCCCTTTTGGGATACAGAATGTGAAGATGAGGCCCTTATCTTTCCAACATGGGGGCAAAGTGCCCAGCAAGGAGAAGGGGGGTTGGGCTTTGCCGCTTTTCTAGGATGTACATACACTTTTTATTATAGTTTTCATTCCTGACCATATGCAATTGCCCATTTTTAAAGAAAAACATATATAGTTAGTTTAATCTATTACTACTGCTGAGGAATGAAACTAGGCAAAGTTCAGTTTGGGGCACATTCACCAAACCCGTAGGTAAGGTCTGAAACACTGAACATAAAGCATAACTCATTGAAGTCTATGGGAGACAACTCTTATTTTTTTCAATGGACTTTTTTAAAGTGGTTATAAAGCCAAGACATTTTTACCTTAAGGGCTCGTTTGCACTTGCTTCAACTTCAACACACACTAAGCGCCTATCTCTTCAACATGCCTCTTTGATGTGTTTTTGATGCTTCTGCGATGCTTTGATGATGCTTTGGTGGTGCTTTGATGATACTTTGGTAATGCTTTTTTGCCTAATACATTGCCTGTATTGAAGTAAAATATGTCCCAGTAGCAGTATAGGCCTCTCACTCTTAACTGAGTCCTCTCGTTCCACTTAATCCAGTACTGTGCCCATCTGTAGTGATTTATCTTCCCTCTTCCTGCTCTTACAGCCTTTGCTGGGGCAGCGGGAGTGAAAGGTGTATTACATGCTGTTCATACTCACTCAGTCACTATGGAATTCATTTTCTGTATTCTGGAAAAAACATGGTTGATCCTGCTGTTCTCTGTCTCCCCCTTCTGTCCATGTCCCCAATGCATGAATGAATGACGCCCCCTGATGAAGCAACGTGAGCCGGTGGCGTAATGTGTAGGGGAGGGCTTTGACATCTCGATGCTCGTGGAACAGGATTGAAGATACAGACAGCTGGTTGTAGGCTTGAGGTTAGAGGATCTACACTCACAGCATCGTACATCACTGGAGATTATCATATGAAGTGCATTGTTACTACATACATGTGAGTGAAAAACTGTTTTTAATAACACTGTTCAACAAATTTTTATTTTTTGCCAGTTTTGGAAACAAAAGGATCCATTTCTTAATGAATTTCACATTCTGAGTTCAAATATAACAATGAAATTTGTCAATTGGCTCTAGTTTTTCTGTAAACGGAAAGTTTTCTACTATAGGCGTAATGACTACATAATGCACAATAATTAGATGTCTTTCCACAAATATAAAGCAAGTGATATTGACTACATAACAAAGCCTAAATGGCATAATATATTGCATAGGATTACCAAGAAAAATTATAGCCATAAGCTAAGTTGAATCATTTTAATACTTAGGATTCTCACTAGTTTTGTCTTCAGTTTGTGTCGGTTTTGCTTCTCTTGGCTTTTCTCTTGTATTCGAGGAAAGGGCTATCTCTTACAACTGCACGTGACTACACGCTTCAGGTTCTTCCTCACTTGACTCAACCACGAAGGATTCTGGTGCTTTAGGAATTGGTAGCCCCTCTCCATCAGGAACTGGACGTATTGCCGATGGAATATTTGGATAGTGCACAGATAACTTTTTCTTCTTATTTAGCCCTTTTACAATTGGAGGCACCATACAAAAGTAACAATTACTAACATGATCTGTTGGCTCTCTCCAAATCATTGGCACAGCGAAAGGCATAGATGCCTTTTTTCCATTCAACCATTGCTCCAGTGCCGTTCCACAAGAATTGCAGCATATATGTGGTGCCCAGCTCTTGTCCTGGTCTCCTATCTTGCAGCCAAAATACAAGTTGTAGGCTTTCTTAATCATTCCTGTTATCCTCCTTTTTTGTGAGATAAAAGTTATTTCACCGCAGATATAGCAGAAATTATCTGCTTTATTCACACAAGTTCGAGGCATTACTGAGTAGCCTATATAAGCATAAAACGAAATGTAAAGACGCTGTCGAACTACAATCAGCTACAGATACTGCAGCTTTTATGCAGTGAAGTGATGCAATTAAAGGCTAATATTGCATCATCTCAGTATACATGCAATTTTCTATTGGTCACCAGTATCAATTGCGCAATATGCAGCTGAAGTTGCATCATAATTTTGAATGGCTTACGTCATTAGATGGGTGAATATATCATGGAAACTAGAGCCAATCAACATTTTTTTTGTAGGGTCATTTTCGTTTTCAGCACCCCAAAATTATGTAAGATTAGCTAATTTTATGCCCAAAACTTTTTACCTGTTGAACAGTGTAATCAATGTTTTATAAGGATAAAACACCATGTTCTGGTTATCTTCTCCTGGTGCAAACATGATGGTGGAGGTGTGTTGAGAAGGAGGAGAAAGAGGGATACTCATTGGAAGAACATACCCATTCCCATTGAACAACAAACATCAGTCCATAATAAGGGATACATGCAATTTTTTACCTCACCTAGCTG